AGGGGGTACCTGGGGGTACCTGGAGGGTCTGGGGGGGTACCTGGGGGTATCTGCGCTTGATGTTGTTTAGGGTGCCCTCGGGGAGCTTGGCCAGCTCCGTGTCCCTCACCGCGTGCACCGTGGTGGCCCGGGGCTGCCTGGTCAGGGCCTCCACCTGCAGGAGAAGACAGAGAATCCCCCGGGAATGACCCTGGGAATGACCCCTCCGACTCCACATCCGAGAAAACCCCGTCTCGAACGGTCCATAAAACACGGGGAGCTCCTCCCGCTCACCCAGCGCGAGATTCCCGAACGTTCCTCGCCGAGGATTCCCCTTTTAACGCGGTGGAAAAGCACCCCCTGGGGCCTTGAAGCCCTTCCAAGGAGGGCAGAGATGATGAGGAAGAGGAGGTCGGGGATGAAGGGCTGTTCCTCATAAATCAAGGTTTCTGGGCTTTCTGAATAGTTTTGACTAAAATATTTATCTGCTTTTATGGGGTTTATTTTGTTACATTCCACCCAAACCGGCCGTTCTCGCTAAATCTTTACACCCATTAAAATCCTACTGAAACATAAAACACTTCTATTTCTACTTACATTTATAAACATTTATATCTATTTATGCTACAAGTGTTATTTATATTGACTATTTATTTCATTTCTATTAAGCAATATTCCCAAAAGCCAGTAGGAAAGGCCAATGAGCCACCAACTGGTACATTCTCTACAAACCAGATGCTCTTGAGAAACTGGGTTTCCTGAATAGTTTTGACTAAAATATTTATCTGCTTTTATGTGGTTTTTTTGGTACATTCCACCCAAACCAGCTGTTCTTGCTAAATCTGTATACCCATTAAAACCCTATTAAAACATAAACCACTTCTATTTCTATTTACATTTATATATATTGATATTTACTTATGCTACGAGTGTTATTTAGATTATACCACCTGCAGTGATCATGGGCTGGGACATTTTTTTGCTTTTCTCAAGGAAAGCATTGAGATTTTGTTTGCTAGTTCTTTAATGACTGTGTATACCTGTTTTGTGGTTTTTTTCTTTCTTTCTTTCTTTTCTTTTTGGAGGTGTTTGGGGTTCTCTTTTTACATTGTACTTTATATTGTATTTTTTATTGTATTTTTATATTGCATTCTCTTTTACATTATAAGTGTATACAAATGAAATATATGTAAATATATATATATATACACTGCTTTGGTTGTGTCATTTTGGTTTTTGGCAGCTTTTCCCTTTCAATTCCTTTCCCCTTGGTTTGGAGGGGGGGGAGGAAGGAGCTTTTGTTGTGGTGTTGGGCACTTGGCAGGGAGCCAAACCCCAACAGACCACAGCGAAAAAACCCTCCAAAGGAAAGAAAAAAAGGAATAGCAAAAGCTATATCAATATATATATATATATATATATTACATATATCACAGATATACACAATTAAAATACTATGTACATATAACCACAGAAACCCCAAACAGCTCCCAGAAAGGGGGAAGGGAAAAGGGAAAAAGGGGCAAAAAGGGACGAAAAACCAAAACAGATATGCACAATGGACAACTCAGGAACTAGCAAAATAAAGAATTAGCAAAAGAATATCTTACTACTTTCCTTGGGACAGCAGAAATCAAGCTGAACGACTGCTGACACCCTCCACCTCCCAAGATCTACAAGGCCTCACTAGGCCTCACTAGGCCGCACTAGGCCTCACTAGGCCGCACTAGGCCGCACTAGGCC